GGAGAGCGAACGAAGGGGAATTGCAATAGATGTAGAGCAAGTATTCTAGCACTTTAAACGAAGCCACGCGCAAGTCAACGTCATCGTGTCCAGCTTGCTGTGGGGTACACGGCTGACCGCTATGGTAAAGACAGCCAACGTGTCATTCGCCGGATGTAAATGTCTCTACTACACACGCAACCCAATCAGTCCATATAGGATAATTGTGGCTGAAACACTTTTTCTGGAACAGAGCTATTTACTGAAGTATGGCGAGTACTGCAAGCAAAATGCCGCAACTTGCGCAAGACTGGTAATTACTCGCAGACCAACATTAAGTAGGATTACAATACTGATTATCGCGCAGTCTTATCTAAATTCTCTTCAGTCACTTCAGGATACCGGCTTTTTAATGGACTTCTTTCCGTCCGCTTATAAAATGATGATTCTGAAAAAATCTCTTCATAAATAGTATGCATTTTTGTCGTTGATTTTGACTGCCTTTATAAATTCAAATATATTTTATGGAAAGCATAAACGAAGAAAATATTTTCTGTACTCGTTTGGTAGCAAATAAAGCCTTCTTTAAATTTTGTACTTTCGAATTTAAAAAATTTTCTAAATTGCCGAAAAATTTTGAAATTTACCGAACGCTACACCTGAATTCAAGGTTTTCCAGACAGCATGGTGTGTACATTCTGTTTAAGGAAAAAACTTTTTGCCTACGGTTTGAGGAAGAGGTCGCATGGTTCTCATACTTTTTTTTCAATATATGTGGATCATGCTGTATACATTATAAGCAGTATTATTGATGCATTATGAATGAACACCTGACAGTCGTAAAAAATCTCATAATTAGACATTTTTCTAAAGCCGAAGGATACCCTTTCTTTAACAATAGAATTTAAAGAAGGCGTGATTTCCTACAAAACGAGCACAAGAAAACATATTTTGTGCATGTTTTCTATAAAATATATTTGAATTTATAAAGGCGGTCAAAATCTATTATAAAAATACATACTATTTAAGTAGCCATTTTTTACAGACTCTACGGTCAGAAAGAAGCTCATTACAGAGATGGCATCCTGGCGTGACTGAAAAGACTTGAGCTTAAACTGCACGATAATAAGTATTGCAACCTTACTGTTGGTTTGCGAGTGATCACCAGTCTTTCGAAAGTTGCGACATTTTGCTTGCAGCACTCGCCATACTGTAGGTGTGAAATATGTTCCTCGGACTACAACGGACGTCTGAAATGTTACAGAAACTGTCCCGAGCAGGTTTATTTGGATTTTCGTGGAAAGTGTTATTCGCACACTAACTAAGAGGAAGCTCGACTAACTTTAACTGTTGGACTATATTAGCTCCGTTCAACACACGCAGTATCCGCGTGAGTTCCAGGTTGTTCTTGAGCGGGAACTCCTGACCCGTCAGGTTTATGAGATAACGCCAGCGCGGGCGCTTCGAATTTGATTTCGCTTTCGTAGGTGTTGTCGTTTGTTGCCACAAAAGACGCATACAGAAGAGATCAGCCTCCAAGACAGACATATACGAGTGTTGGACA